TTTACAAAAGCCAGCATAATTGTAATTTTGTTATAAAAATCCTTTATTATTTATAGGTTTATAAAACTTCAGCATTAATTACTGGTATCTAACTATAGTTTAGTTTGGTTTGTTTTAAGATATATCAACCTCAATGGGTTATTTAATGCCGACAAGATTTTTATTACTGGTAATATTTTTTCCTTCAAAAATGTATTACTGATAATATTTTTTTCCTTCAAAAATGTATTACTGGTAATATTTTTTCCTCACAAATGTATTGCTGGAATTTTTTTTTTTTTTTTGTAAAAAATGTATTGCTATATATAGGGCATCTCGAGGTGGCGTAATGGTTACACAGCTTGTCTCACCAGAACACTTACGAGTGAGTTCGATCCTCACTGGCTGGGTGCCCCATACATTCGGCTCTGTGCCAAATCACTATATTGCTATTTTTTTTTTCCAAACATGTAATGCTGGTAATAATTTTTCATCAAAAATTCATTGCTGGTAGTAATTTTTTACAAAAATGTATTGCTGGTATTAAAACCTATTTTCACACTTTCATAGCGTTTGGGGTTAACTATTTACCCATAGCTGGGACCCTAAAAGGGGCTACTACCCCGGTTTAGGGTGAACCGGTGAACACCAGCAATTAAGAGATGGTTCCACGCTCCTCAAAAACCTCCTAATCAGAGATCTTGCTTTTCGGATGTAGTTTATCGTTTTACCCAGGTCGCGGATGTAGGTTATCGTTTTACGCAAGACGCGGATGTAGGCTATTGTCTTACGCAGGACGCGGATGTAGGCTATCGTCTTACCCAGGACGCGGATCTAGGTTATCGTCTTACCCAGGTCGCGGATGTAGGTTATCGTCTTACCCAGGTCGCGGATGTAGGTTATCGTTTTACCCAGGACGCGGATGTAGGCTATCCGTCTTACCCAGGACGCTTCTAACTAGAACCCATTAATACACTCTATGTTGGTGTGCATTAATTACCAAAGAATTTGTTGTTCTTTACGTGTTTTTATTGTACGTGTGTATGCGTGCGCAACTGTATGCTGAATAGGCGCGTATAGTATAAAAATTCTTTCAAAAATACATATACACTTCCATATCTACATCCGCATTTACTGGGTTAAGATATATCCAGCATAAGGTCAAATGTGTTGTAGAAATTTTAATTCGAACCGACTTACCAAACTTGTTCGAAATCTAAGGTTTGGTGACGGCTCTCACACCGACAATTAGTGGGGAAATATTTAACAACTGAATCTAACAAAACTGATCACATTGGGACATAAATAGATGCATGGGTTTCTCTGTGGATTATTACATATTTTTCGACTGCCATTTTTATTGTTTCTTTTTTTTTTTGCGTGCTTATTCTCATCTGCATAGGCAAGCCTTTCCATCAAGATCTTCTTACTCAACCGCCACCAAATTTGCTGACGGTGGCAAAAGCTTATCTCCTATTTATCTTTACTTATGCCTGATTAAACTCAAAATCAAAAAAGCAAAAATAAAGAAATTGTTATCGCTATATACATGCATATAATCGTCTATGTTTGGATGAATATGCATTAACATGTGGATGTGTGTGTGTGTGCGTGTGGAGAGAATGTTCTAAGCCGTTCCACAAGAAAGAAGTGCATTTTTTTTTCTTTGAAGGTACGGAGTAGCGCGATTGTCGTGGGAACTCATTCTTTTGCGGATGTTTTAATGAATACTGTTTGTCTGGGTTGTGTATGCTGCTCTAAAAAGAAAAGAAAGAAACATTTTGTCGTTGTTTTTTTTTCTCTCTTTTTCTTTTTTGAAACTCTATCAGTAATTCGCATTTAACAAATGTTTACCTTCTACTCCGGTGTCGGGATTTATTAAGCAAGTTAATGTTCTTACAATAAATTTGGCATTAAGCAACCGATGTTGGCAAAGTCTTCAGGATATATTTATAAGATAAATATGCCATGGGAATTTCAGCTAATCTTTTTTTATTAGAAATATTTACTTAATTTAATTTATTTAACTTATTTGATATCGTATGATTATATTATGCAATTCAATAGTTGTTCATTATACGGGACTTACTTAAATAAACTCACCCACTTGTAACATATCAGGAAAAAAAATTGAAAATAATTTTTATGCATTAGCGTTCTTTAGGCATTCTTTAATCTGGGACAGTTATTAGAATCGAAAAATATTGATATTTTATCGATTTACAAGGGTGTTCTGTTTATAATATCGATACAGTGTCAACTCTATCAGTGAATTTTTCAGAGTTATTAGACTGAATTGGTTAAGCATCTTACTTCGCACGGCCTCTTTTCGGACAAACAATATGGCTTCCGTTTCTACCCCTGAATGTGTTAACGACCATCACTGAATTTATCTATCAAGCCTTAGATAAGAATGGCGAAGCTCGGGCTGTGACTCTAGATATGTCTAAGGCTTTCGACACGGTTTGGTATGCTGGTCTTCTTCACAAGCCCAAGTTCTACGGTTTCAAGGTGGAGAATATTTACCTTAATCCAATCGTTCCTAACAAATCGTGTAATGAAGTGTCGAACTGGCACGCTTCCAGATCATTTCATGCTAATGTGGGTGTCTCCTGTGACTATTTTTGGACCTACACTGTTTCTGATCTTCATCGCTGACCTCCTACATGTCATCAGTACCAAATTAGGTATTTATGTAGATGATACAACCATTTACTCCTGTCAATAGTAAGTCCAATAGACCCGACAAAGTAAAACAGACAACTTCTATCGAACAGAACCTCTAATCAGTGGTTAACTGGGGCAAGAAATGGCCTATAAATTTTAAGGCCTCCAAAATAAAACTGCTTTCATTCAATCATCACAGATAACTTTTTCTACCTGCCATAAGTATGGCTGATGCTAGACTCCGGGAGAGCAAAACTCTATGCCTTCTTGGGATCACGTTTGCCACTTGAATCGTCTACTGCGAGGAAAGTTAGTTCACTGTGCCTTGCCAGAAAATTGTTCTCGTTAGAATACATCTTGCACATTTTTAAATCTATCATTCGTCTGTGCTTTTAATATTGCTGCCATATCTGGTCTGATGCTCCTGCTGTATGCCACTAGATTCTTGACAAAATTCAAAGAAGGGTCTGTAATATAATCTATCCTGACCTGGCATTTCTACTTCAGTCACTTTCTCACCTACGTGACATGGCTTCCCTGTCTTTTCTACAACTATTTTCATGGCATTTGTTTCGATGAGCTTCATCCCTAGTGCCCCAACTGCATGAATCTAAGCGTACTACTTGATTGGCAATTAGGTCTCACCGTTTTAATGCTGAACTAGCTCTTTGCAACTGCCACTTCTATTCTAAGTTTCTTTTCCCGCACTTCTCACCTGGGGAACTCCCTTCTGATTTCTTGCTTCCCTGATAACTACAATCTTTAAAAATTAATGCAGCGATAACAGAGGATACGAGAAACATATTTTCCTGAAAACTGTTTTAAGAAAAAGATTTTATAAATTTCAACCGACAGTAATGCTAACTGTTCGGTTAATGGATACCGCATGATTCTTGGATGTAAATCGTTAATTTCATCTTAGCATTACCATTTAGATAAGCACGCCATTATGTTCGGTTTCATCACTGACAACTGAAGCCTGAATCTTTCATAGGAATTTTGTTGTAGTATATTTTTAAAGCGAAGACGAAAATAAGCAAGACAGTCAATCATCAAATGACAAAAAAATGATTTCTGAATCGATGGATCCGCGCATCCTTTCGATTAATAAATTAAGCCTTTGAAAATAAATATTTTTATCTTCGTGTTTTTACCACTGATTTTTTTTCACCGTGTGCTTTTAGTTGTTTAGGATAAAAAGAAATGTGGTTTCTTCGCGTGTATGTGTGTGAAAAGAGGCGAGGGAGAACGTGACGAGCAAAAGTCTAAGTGTCACGTAGCTTGGTGAGAAAGAGTGTAAGTGTCACATAACTTGTCGAGGAAGACTTGTGAATGAGTAAGGGAATCTCTTTGAAGCCGCCGTGGCGAAGTGATATCGCATGTATCCGTCTCTATCTCTTTACTGATTTTGTTCGTCTAGACACTTTACTTAAAAGGGATCACGTAACATGTTTATTTTTTCGACGGGAACGCAACCCATTGATTGAAAAATGTTAAATATTTATTTTCAAGGGATTAATTCATTAATAGGAAGGATGCATGGATCATCCGACTCAGAAACCATTTTTTGGTAATTTGGTGACTTGGTGTTTATTTTCGTCTTCACTCCACATATTCACCGGCAATGCTTAAATAGAGAAACATAAAAACTCAGTATTTATCCAGTTCCGATGATCGCTAAATATTACAAATTACTGACAAGACACTGTTATGATAGAAATATAAATCTGAGATATGAACAAATTAAGAGATAAAGTCGACGAAATTATTTCGAAGAGCTTTTCCTATTAATTCACATATCAAATTCATTGTATTTAACCTATTGTTCTGAAAATCGAGTTTTAGATTCCTTTTTTGTGCTTATTAACATATAAAAATCTGACATCATACGGGCATTAGATTCTCAGGAATGAATAAAAAATATTCAAAATCGATGGGGGTACGAATAATTTCGTCGTTGACTGTAGATAGATAGATGACAGAGCTTGTTCTGTTTCTAGCCGTTTCTAGTGACTTTGATCTTCACTAAATAATCGATTGTTATGGCTTTGTGTCAGATTAAGTAGTATTGAATAAGTGGAATTTCAAAACAAATCTTGTCAGAAACTTAGTTTCCGTCTACAGCACGAAATTTCCAAATTCCAATAAGACTGATATAGTCAATAACACAACTTGATATTAGTGGCAAAATCCGATAATCCCGGATATATCTTTGCATTTATCGACGTCAAGAAAAATCAGGAGTTGGATTCTTCACTAGTTGGTATGACAACTAATTAGTGACTTCTGAGTACCAGCCACCAATTCTACTTACTGTTGTATGCGTTATGCAAATATTCTTTAGTGTAATTCTAATGGTTACCTACCGTGCTGTAATGGTGAGCAAGACCTGTTCAAAAGAGGACGGAGTTAGAACCTCACTGGAAGAGTGGTCAATACGATGCTAACTGGGTAAATAGTGAGTTTAGCCTTCAGTTAGTGAACTAGAGAATACGATTCTCACTGTGTGAGTAGTGATTACGATTCTGAATGGATGAATAAAGAATATGATTTTTCACCGGGTGTGTAGCAAATTCGACCTTCACTCATTGGGAAATGAGTTCGATTCCCACAAGGGGAATAGTGAATTCGACCTTTATTGGTTGAGTCTTTAGTTCGATTCTCACTGGAGGAATAGCGAATACGATCCTCACTGGATTAATAGATATTTTGACCCTCACTGGGTAAATCGATTTTAATTGGGTGGGTTGTTGGTTCAACCATCACTGGCTGATTAATGAGTTTTATACCTTCTGGATAGCAGCGAATACTAGTCTAACTGGGTGCATAGTGAGTTCGATTCTTACTGGATAAGTAACGAATTCTATCCTTATTAGGTGAGTGGTGTGTTCGATCTTCACTGGGTGAGTAATGATTTCAATTTTCACTAGATGCGTAGCGTATACGATTTAGTATAACACCCAGTGACTCCGTTCTCAGTGGTCAGTATTTGTGACTGAGCTTTACAGAGTAAATGCATATGAGGCTTGGTCAAAAACAAATAATGCCTGTTCGAATTTAATTTTGAATTTCTTTTTACTAGTATTCTAATATTCACCCTATACACAGTCCAAGAGCCACTCAAGACAGAGAGTTACTGAAAGAGGTTGCTGCATGAGATGTAAGGGTAAGAAGTAAGAACTGCAGATTATGAGGATATGTGGAAAAGATAACGGTTCACCCTAGACCTGAACACGTTCAGATTATAGTGGTCGGAAAAGCACGATCTTAGAATCCATATACATGATACAAATATGAGTATCGCTGACAAGTTTGATCCATGGTTTTACTTCTCGACATCATCAATCCCATGACAGGGTGAGGTTGTAGGGTCGGTAAGCAGCTGAGCACCTGAACATTTCCCTCGAAATATCTGGGTTGAAAACCAAGTAGGTATCATACATTAATTTAGCCTTCTCCTGGTCATATATATATATATATATATATATATATATATATATATATATATATATATACATACATATATATATATATATATATATATATATATATATCTTATATATATATATATATATATATTCTTATACATATATATATATATATTCTTATATATATATTCTTATATATATATTCTTATATATATATATATATATTATATATATATATATATATATATATATATATATATATATATATATATATATATTCTTATATATATATATATTCTTATATATATATATATATATATATATATATTATATATATATATCTTATATATATATATATATATATATTCTATATATATATATTCTTTATATATATATATATATATATATATATATATATTCTTATATATATATATATATATATTATATATTATATATATATATATATATTATATATATATATATATATATATATATATATATATATATATATATATATATATATATATATATATATATATATATATATATATATATATATTCTTATATATATATATATATATATATATATTCTTAAAAACCCTAAAATGTATGGAAATCAAAGGGAAAATTTTATCTTGTCTAACACGTTTAAAAATAGCTGCCCCTCTGAACACACGTAGAAAACAAAATCTCTCACAGAATGTCTGTTTATGAAGAGAAAAAAAGCTGCAAACATTCACAGGTGATTATGTAAGCGTAGTAAAGAGATGGGTTAGTAGTGTTAAAGGCAATTCTACATAACAAAAATGAATCTGAACTTAATGACAGGCTTTGCAGTGGCAGGTCTGCAGCTGTTGTGAATGAATGTAAGGACTGACAGACTGGTGCAATCATTATAGCTGAAAGAATAATCACTATTGCAAAACTCCCAACACCTTATTTCCTTCTCGTTCAAAGTTGTGACCTTGAAACGTTCATCTGTTTTGGTACATGTAAGAGTAACTCAAAGGATAGCAGTTCTTCAACGATGAGGATGTAAAAGAAGCAACATGTACATGGCTAAGAAATCGACCCAGAAGCTTCTACAAGTCAGGTACATATCTTCCCGTTAAAAGGTGGTATACCGCGATTAAGTAGGAAAGAGACTTTATTATGGATGAGATTTGGAATCCTGAGGCTATTGTGTTCCTTTTCGTATGTATTATGTGATTCTGCTATGAAATATGTTTCACCAACCCTCATGATTGATAAGGAATGAGTTTTGTTGGTGACTAGATTTGAAATCTGCAGACTTTTATGTTAATTTCTGTATGCGTTGTGCACTTTTACCAGTAAATATTTTGCAATAAAAAAGAACAGGCATTTTCTTCTTTTTTTTACCGACAGCTATACAGCTCAACTTCGGGTCACAAGTGATTTATATTTAGCGAAAATATGAATCATTAAGATTAATTAATAGTAGTCGATGCATCAAAATACACAAGATACTACACAAAAGTACAGTCAATTTCATGGTAAAAAAGGTGTATAGCTTACCATCTATTTTTCACTGTCTCTTTCAACGTAGTCAATTGGATATGTTTTCAGCGATCTTATAAATAGTACTGCTCTTAAAGTCCGTACTAAATTCGGCTTGCACGTGTTTTTGTTTGTTTTTGTTTTTTGTTTGTTTGTTTTTGTTTTGTTTTTTCTAATTTATTTATCAGTCTTTCTTTTATTCTCTTTCTTAAGTTATTTATTTCCTCGGTTTGATATTGCTTTTATTTTTCCTTCCTTTCTTTCTTTCTTTCTTTCTTTCTTTCCTTCCCATCTGTTTCTTTCGTTATGTTTTTTCTCTTTCTCTTCTTCGATTTCTCAGCTTTTATCGTTAGTTCGCCTGACTTATTATTTCTTCTCTTTTATATCTTTCTATTCTTTATCTTATTCTTTTGTTCTTTGCCTCCGTTTTCTTTTTCTTTTCTTTTTTCCTTGTCTTTTTTCTTTTTGTCTTTGTATTTTTACTATTTTCCTACCTCACTCCTTCCAGTCCCTTTTTGTTATTGTTTCTTTCTTTATTCATTCATTTACTCTTCTCGCTTTTCTTTTCTTATATCTTTTTATTTTATTTTAGTCTTTAGTTTTTGATCATTTTCTTCAGCATTCTTGCCTAATTTTTTATAGCACTCTTCAGGTTTCTCCTTATCACCAGATATTTCTGTTCAGAAAAAGAAAAATAACAAAGCTCTGACAAGGGTATCTACATCGTAAACAGGTATTTGAAAAAGAATGCGACGGTTAAACGCTGCTTCCCAGAAGAATGACTGCTAGCAGACGATAGTTAATCTATACTAATCTGATTTAAAGCTTCCACGAAACTGGTTCTTCTGTATTTTCCTAATCCCCCTTCAAAATGACAATTACAAAAACAGACCATTTTTTTAAAAATTACGTCACAGATTCTACTTACAACAAAAACTAATTTAAACTGTTTCTAAATACACCAATTTGGTTACTTATCCGTTGACAACATCTCCCTTGTCAAAGAATTAATTTAGTACTCCAAATTATATGACAAATATTGTTCAAAAGTATCGGCTTGCTTAAACTTGTTCACATTAATAACATTTAATAATCTGTTAATTAAAAATATCTTTGTTTGTTCCTAAAATAATTCTAAATTATAAAAAATGAAAAACTCTTTTCAATCCATAATTATTATTATTATTAAAATTTTCTTTTTAACCTGTATTAGTTTTATAATCACATATCAGGTCATAGTCATTGATCTAGGACAAGCGCAGGATACGATTATTTCCACTTAATTAAACAATAGACAGTTATTAGCAAAAAACTTAAATACACAAAACTCTTCGCGGAATATGAGCTGTGTTTGTTAGAACTATTTTTTAGATTATTATTATTATTATTATTATTATTATCATTATATTTCCTTTCATTTCTGGTGTATACTGATTTCTTTCTGGGTCCCAACCAGAGACCTAACCTCAGAAATGGCATCATGACATTTTTCACTGAGCAGTTTTGAAAAAAAATCACACATATTTTACATAGATAACGCCTTTCGTAACGTGCGGGCTGTACTCGTGAGAACAATTCTTTTGAATTTCTTTAAGGCATGGGCTATCAGGGATTCCTGCAATGAGTCAATTGGAATATTTTCCAATCAATTCGAGGGCTCCAACTACAACTTCAGTTGTTCATGTCCTCATGCGCTACATTTTTGAGATATCGATTTCAAGGTCCTTGTATTTTGATAGTTTTTTGAAGATTTTCAAAGATACACAACAATACGCAGGGACTGCTATGCCAACAAGAAGGCACATTTTGTCGTTGCGGTCTCTATTTATTATGTCAGGGGAATAAGCTTTGATTGTTGTGTCTGTATGTATTGTAAAGTCCCATAAACTTGTTACAGGTCCTATGTCCGTAGCCAGGTCTGGGTGGTGTTCATACCAATTTCTTGCAGTTTCCTTTCCGTAAAAGCTGCAGATTTTCCAGTGCAGATATTGGTCTACACTGTCATGCCGAGTTTTATATTCAGTGGGTGTCAGTACCGCGCAACCTAATACAAGATGGTCAATTTTTTCTGGATATTTATCACAGAATCTACGTTTTGGGCTAACAATTTTTCAGTGTGTATTCTTATTTTTATTTTATTATTATTAGTAGTAGTAGTAGTAGTAGTATTTCAGTCAACATCGCTTCGCGAACACCAAGCTGATCAACTTTCTAAAGTAAATTGTTTATTAATTTAAAATACTACATTTATTACAAATTATATTCAGTTAAAATACAGAAAAAAAGTCGTAAAAATGACTCCCAAAATGGCAGATATTTGACTTATTCACTTTTTCAAATGCATAAGGGTTGTTGCTAATCTAGTCCGTTTCAGTTCCATATAAATTGCGTCTGTACGTTGGCGTGTGCACGTATATATTTCAATTCGAGGAAAGACATTAAAAATGTTTCAAAAAAAATTTTTAAATAATTATATTAGCGAATAATTTCAATTATTCTTCAACTATAATAAACCTTTTTTTAGGAATTAAACTTTATTTTTACCGAGAAATTCGTCGTACCATTTTTACCTCCCATTACACCTGTGCTATTTTTACCCAAATACCTTTTTTTTTTCATTCAACCTAAGTTCAGTTTATCGTCAGAAGTAATAAACCGGACATTTACTTTGTGGCCACCTCTTTGCTGTCGGTTCAAAACCATAAATAGATATGAATAAACTGATACGTATATATGATTGATTGATTGATTCGTTTTTACGGCTTAGCAACCTTTTGCAGGGTTAATCAAAGCCAGAAAATATTTTTAAATAATAATGGTTTAGAGATACAAGTCTTACTAATTAACCCATAGCTGGGGGAAGAAGATGTGGATTCATACCTTTCCCAAGGGTAGTTGCGTATAAGCAAATTTAAAGAACTCAACGGGTTTTGTAACTCGACTCTCCATTTAACAATTCTGAGCCATTGTCCATCACACCACCCGCACATCCCAGCTTATATTACCTGGTATTCCCAATCGGTTAACCATGACTAGGCTCGATGATGCTTAACTTCAGTGATCGTACGGGAACCGGTGTTGCAACGTGATCTGGCCGTAAGCACGTATATATGCTAGACATAAATAGACTGATACTAATAGACAGATATGAATATGCTGATGTCAGTAGATTGCAACGGAATGAAATAATTATCAATAAGATACTAAAGATATGAGACGAGATTGACGAGATTTTTTGTCCAGACTGAGTGTGGAAAGAAAGTGCATATGTGTGCTGAAATGCTTTCGTCTTGATTTTAGACAACACAAACAGCCATATAAACATGGAAGCAAGGATACAGTTTGACTGACTTGAAGCTGTTGATAAGTATTTTCTTTCTTTTTTCTTTTTGTCCAGACAGAATCGTGATTTGTGTCAAAAGAGGAATCTATTATTCAAACTTAATGAAATTATGTGCATATGTGTGCTCGCGCGTACTTGCTCGCGCAAGTGCAGGTATATCGCTCACAGACAACACAAACATACTTATATACACCCTTGTGCAAATTGAAACAAAACGAATAATTCCGTTATTATTTCCTTTTTCAATTTTAAGCATGGAATAATACAACAAAATGTATTTGATTTAAATCAAGAGAGTTTCCAGGCCAGTCTATAGTACTGATTTGATCGCACTGGCAAAATGTGTTTGAAACAAAGAATAGACAACTAATCGACAGAAGAACAATAATGTCTGGGCGTAATAAAATTCCGATGCAATCAATATTTGACCTAATCTGAGAAAAAATAGAAATCGATTACACCCTGTCAATCAGTGGTTATGGTTTAATTTGTATATAGATCTTGTCTTGGAAGACTGTTCCTGCTTTTTTTAATATATTATGGGTTGACTTAAATCGCAAAAGTACGGGAAACAGAGTATATTCTTGGGGATTCAATTTCTTAATCTACTATCTTCCCTGTCTTCCGGTACCAACCCATATTTATATGGTCGGTAGTCCGCTTATGTAAATTAGGTGTATCATACACAACACCCTCCTCCCAAGCCTTGGAATCCTTTTGGATTTCAAACTGGCTTCCTATATGGGTTGATGATTATGGCTATTTCTTTGTAGATCCATTTGCCTAATTTTAATATTTTTTTCGTTTTGGATTCACGTTCAATGGGTCCGTCAACTTCCGTTTCCTACCGGATCTTCTTGGTTCAGGTGTATTCTGTGGAGGTTCTACCTGAAACATATCATACATTATATCAATGGGATCTTCGTCCTCATCCGGTATACACTCTTCTTGCTCTATACCGTAATCTTTTTTAAGTTGGTTTTGGTGCCTTTTATAAGTATTCTTCGGCCCTTTAATTATGTAAATCAGGTCACCGATTCTCTTGTCCACTATGCCTCGTTCCCAGAACTCAACGTTGTTTTTATAGCACTTGAAAAAACACCTTCTCTCCGGGAGTGTATCTTTTTCTCGCTGTATACATGGTATTTTTTTACTGTATTTTTCCTGGCAAAAGCTTGTCAAACACTGACTTAACTTTCCTAGCGAACATTAGTTCAGCTGGTGCCATGTTTGAATGTGTTCTCTGGTTTGGCGTGATTCTGTATACTTGTAAGAATTGCTGAAGCGCCTTTTCCGTTGGAACTCCTGAGGCTTTCTTCAGAGCTCGTTTTAAAGTATCGACAAATCTTTCTGCGAGTCCATTAGACCTCGGATGATACGGAGGCGTCGTTATGTGGTTAATTTGATATAACTCACAAAATTCCTTAAATTCTTCAGAAGTGAATTGTGTACCATTGTCACTCACAATACACTCTGGCACACCGAACCGTGCAAATAGTTCATGCAAAAAAAAGTTGTTGTGGTATTGGACGTAGGCTTTTTACAGCGTAGTACTTCCGGCCATTTTGTAAAACTATCTACCACTATTAAGTAGTAAAAATCTTCTACTGGACCAGCGAAATCAATGTGTAATCTTGTCCACGGATGATCCGTCTTGGGCCATGGTTTGTGTACTATAGGTGGTGCCTTAGCTGCTAACGCACACCCCCTTACATCGATGAACCATGTTTTCGATATCCACATCCATTCCTTTCAATACACAAAGCTTCGCATTAAGCTTTTTGTTCTATTAATACCGGGTGACCCATATGAAAGTCCCGAAGTATTCTTTTCTGCAACTTTTTGGTATTACTACTCTCTCACCATATAATAAAACTCCATCACCTATTGAAAAAATCTCCTGCACTTTTTGGTCATTTGCTACCATTTTGTTTTTAATTTCTAAATGAAATCATCGCTTTCAGCTCTTTTTTTAATTTCATTTAGCGTAACCGGTAGCTCTCTTACAATGTTGTTTACCATGCTTTTCACCTCATAATCTGCTCTGATATTTGCAATAATTGATTCTTCGAATCTTTCTTCTTGCCTTGGTACTAGTCTTGATAGACTATCCGCATGAATTATCTTTTTGGATGATAGGTGCTTTATGTGAAAATCATAATTGAGAAGAATGGTTCCCCATCTTAACAGACGATTTGCTGTATAAACGGGTAACCCTTTCTTTGAACCAAAAATGGTGATCAGTGGTT